TTATGATGGTTTTTATGATTTTTTTAAGATGGGTTTTTTATGATGATGATTTTATTTAAAATATTCTACAAAATTATAATGCTTGTACAATCTACTTACCAATAGAGAGAAGACTAAGCTTCATACTTAGATATTTGGACATTATATGTGAAACTTTCAGTCAGTTACAGTCTGCATAGACAGAAGACACAGGTATGAGTTGATTATGTTGGGAAGATCTCCAAAAAAAGAATATAGAGGTAAGAAAGCGAGATGCACTGGGAGAAGGGGAAAGGGGAAAGTAGAGTGGGACACATAAAGGAGGTGTGCAAGGAAGAGCTTTTATGGGGGAGGGGAAAACTGAGGAGGTGGTGGTGGGTAGTGTTTGAACTTCACATCAGAATTGGTTCAAAGAGGGAAGGGTATGCACACACACACACACACATACACACACACATTCCTTTGGGTATAGATACTATCTTATCCAATAGCGAGTTAGGAAGGGAAAAGGATAAGATGCATGAGGGCAGATTATTAGGGGAAGGGAGGATTGGGGAGGCAGTGGTTGAAAGAAAGACTTTTGAAGAGGCACAGGAAAAAAGAGAGAGAGAAGAGAGAAAGAGAACAGAAAGAAAGAGAGAGAGAAATGGAGGGAAATACAGAATGATCATAAGTGTGAATGTGAATGGCATGAGCAACTCATAGAATGGAAGCAGATAGCAGAATAGATTGAAAACCAGAATCGGATATAAAGATGCACACAGAGTTGAAATGAAGGGCTGGAGTAGAGTCTATTATGCTTCATCTGAAGTGAAGAGGGCAGGGGACAATCATGATCTCAGAGAAAGCAAAAGCAAAATTAAATCCAGTTGAAAGAGAGACTTAGGAAAACTGTATTTTGCTAAAAAAAAAAAGTACCATAGACAATGAAATAATATAAAGGAATTTACAGTGGATTTTTCTAATAAGGCTTCCATTTATCAAATATATAGGGAACTGAGTCAGTTTTATCAAAATAAGAGCCATTTCCAAATTGGTAAATGGTCAAAGGACATGAACAGGCAATTTTTAGAAGAAATCAAAGCTATCTACAGCCATATGAAAAAATGCTGTAAATCACCATTGATTAGAAAAGGGCAAATTAAAACAACTCTGAGGTACTACCCCATACCTATCAGAAATGACAAATGCTGGAGGGAATGAGGGAAAATATGTACATTAATGAATTGTTGGTAGAATAATGAATTGGTCCAACTGAATTCTAGAGATCAGTCTGGAACTGTGCTCAAAGGGCCATAAAACTCTGTATACCCTTTGATTCAGCAATACTACTATTAGGTCTGTACCCCAAAGAGGTCAAAGAAAAAGGAGAAGTACAAAAATATTTATAGCACCTCTTTTTGTGGTGACAAAGAATTGGAAATTGAGGAGATGCTCATCAGTTGGGGAATGGCTGAACAAGTTGTGGCATACAATTGTGATGAAGTACTATTATGGTGTAAGAAATGAAGAGGTGAGTGGCTTCAGAAAAAAAAAGACATGGCAAGGCCTATATGAACTGATGCAAAGTGAAGTGAGAAGAGTCGGGAGATCATTGTGCACAGTAACAGCAATGTTGTAATGGTGATCAACTGTGAAAGACTTGACTACTCTGATCAATGCAATAATCCAAGGACTCATGATGAAGAAATTCTATCCACCTCCAGAGAGAGAACTGATGAACTGTGAATGCAAATTGAGGTGTGCTTTTCTCAATTTCTTTTCTTTTTTTTGGCTTTTTTTTGTAATATGGCTAATATGGAAATATGTTTTGCATTATTTCACATGTACAATTGATATCATAGTGTTTGACTTCTTAGTGGGTGGGGGAAAGTGAGAGGGAGGGAGGGAAAGAATCTGGAACTTAAAATTTAAAAAGAAAAGAATGTTAAAAAAATAAGTAAATATTTTAAACGTGGGAAGGAAGGAGGCTTAGCAATATTAGATCTCAACTATACTACAAAGCAGTAATCATCAAAGTAATTTGGTACTAATTAAAAATAGAGTGATCAGTGGAATAGATTAGGTACACAACATATATATGGAAAGGAATCTAGTAGCCTAGGGTTTGAAAAACCTGATAACTATAGCTACTGGGGTGAGAGCTCACTATTCAACAGGAAACTTTGAAAACTTTAAAGCGGTATGGCAGAAACCAGGTATTCAGGGCTTCTTAAACTTTTTTCCACTGGAGACACCTTCAGTTCTTCTTAAACTGACCCACAGTTTAAGAAGCACTGGGACTATAGAGTACCAACTCACATCATATACCAAGATGAGCTTTAAATAAAAATGTGACTTGGACATTAGAGGAGCAAGGAAAAAATTACTTTCAAGTCTATGCATAGGGGAAGAGTTTATGACCAAACAGAGGAATAGTGAAAATTAGAGAAGGAAAAATGGATAATTGATTACATATATGACCAATGTAGCTAAAATTAGAAGGGAAACACATAACTTCTGTAAAACAATCTTTGCAGCAATTTTCTCTGGTAAAGACTGCATTTCTAAAATATATAGGGAACTGATTCAAATTTATAAAAATCATAGCCATTTTTCAATTGATAAATGGTCAAAGGATATGAACAAGCACTTCTCAGGGATGAAATCCAAGCTAGCATTAGCTAGATGAACGTGTGAAAAGATGCTCCAAAATCATTAAAATTAGAATAAGGCAAAATTAATGCAACTCTAAAATTCTACCTCACACCTATAAGATTTTCAAAGTTGAAAAAAAGGGAAAATGACAAATACTAAAGAGGCTGTAGGAAATCAGATACATTGATGTACTGCTGCTTTGAGCTGTAAATTGCTGTGAAAGCTTTGAATTGCTAACCGTTCTGAAAAGCAGTTTGGAGCTATGCCTCTAAAGTTATTAAACTATGTGAATTCTTTGACCCATCAATGTCACTACTAGGCCTGTTTCCTAAAGAAATAAAAGAAAAAATGAGAAATACCCATATATGCAAATTTATTTATAACTGCTATTTTTGTATGTGTGACAAAGAACTAGAAATGAAAGTATTATCAGTTGGGGAATGGCTAAACAAGTTATGGCATATGAATGTAATGGAATGTTATTGTGCAATAAGAAATGAAGAAGGGAACAGTTTAGGGACCCATGGGAAGACTTTTATGAACTGTTAGAAAATGAATTAGGCAGATCTGGGAGAACAATTTATTTAACAACAAAAACTGCCAAATCCAATGGCTTTTTCTTAGTCCTCATTCTCCTCAAGCTCTTTGTAGCTTTTGATACTGTGCATAAACCTGTCCTCCTTGATATTCTCTCTCTCTCTCTCTTTTTGGGGGGGAACATTACTCTCTTCTGGTTCTCCTACTACCTATCAGACTGCTTCTTCTCAGTCTCCTTTCCTGGATCCTTATCCAGATCATGACCTCTAACTGTAGGTATTCCATAGAATTCTGTCCTAGTTCTTCTCTCTCTAGACTACTTTACTTGATGATCTCATCAGCTCCCATGGGTTTTTACCATCTCTATGCTGATGATTCTCCAATCTAACTATATTACCCTAACCTTTCTGCTGACCTCCAATCTCGAATCTTCAACTACCTTTAAGACATCTCAGACTGGATGTCTAGTAGACATGTTGAACAAAATAGGTCCAAAACAGAGTTCATTATCTTTCCCTATAAATACCCCCCCCCATTACTATAGAAGGTAACGTTGTCTTCCCAGTGACTCAGGCTTGTAATGTAAGAGTCATCCTGCACTTTTCACTGTCTCTTACCTCCCATATCCAATCTGTTGTTAAGGCCTATTGATTTCACCTTTGTAACATCTCTCCAATACATTCCCTTCTTTCCTCTGATGCTGCCACCACTCTAGTGCAGACTCTTATCACGTTATACCTGGACTATTGTGATAACCTGTGGATGGGTCTGCTTTCCTCAAGCCTCTCTACACTACAATCCATCTTCAATTCAGCCATCAAAATACAGGTGCAATCATGTCACCCCACCTACTCAATAAATTCTAGTGGTTCCTTATTACCTCTAGGATCAAATATAAAATGCTCTGTTTGGTATTCAAAACCCTTCATAATCTAGCCTCCTTCTCCGTTTCAAGTCTTCTTACACCTTACTTTTTTTCATGTACTCTTTGGTCTAGTGACACTGGCCTTCTGGTTGTTCCACAAACAAGACATTCCATTTCTAAGTTCCAGGCATTTTCTCTGGATGTCCCCCAGACCTGGAACGCTCCACCAACTGACTTCCCAGGCTTCCTTTAAATTCTAATTAAAATCCCATGCTTTATAGAAAGCATTTCCCAACCTTCTTAATTCTAGTGCTTTTTCTCTGTTAGTTACTTCCTATTTATCCTTTATATAGCTTACTTTGTACATATTTGCTTGCATATTGTCCTCCCCATTCACTTGTGAGCTTTCTGAGAATAGGTTGTTCTTTTGCTGTTTTGTGTATCCCCAGCACTTAACACTAAAGTGCCTGACACATAGTAGGTACTTAATAAACATTGATTGATTTAACAACATTGTAAAGGTGTTCATCAGGATTGCAAGAAGAGACATGATGAAACATGCTCCCTGCCTCTTGAAAGAGAGTTGCTGGATTTAGGTGGCAGATCAATACAGATTTTTAGGAAATGGCCAATAGGATTTTGTTTTGCTTGACTATATATATTTTATAATGGTTTTGTTTTTCTTCTTCCTTTTTATTGGAGGTTGGGAGGTGGTAGAGAGAAAATAGATTTTTGTTAATTGAAAACAATTAATTAAAAATAAGAAGCTCTTGTAGTAATGTAGTCATGTAGTAATTGAGATTTGGATGAGTATTCCCATGGTTGGGTTGTGATTATCAAATATTCAGTTATTTTTTAGTTTCTAAATGTTCTGTTTATTTCAGTTCATTAATAATACTCTAAAAGGTTCAAAAATTAGATAAAATATGTGAGAAATGTTAAATGTTGACATGTTCCTTTGTGTTTTTTTTGTTAATTTTAGTCACAATTAGATTATTTATCATCTTTCTCTGGGTATCTGGAAATGCATGTTGTTGTGGAAAAAAGTCTGGTAAGTCCATTATTTTAATTTCTTTGTCTTTCTTTTCTAACCTTTGTAGTATCTTATTTCTCCTCTCCTCTTATTTCCACTGCAAAATGAATAAAATGAAGTCCAAGGGACTGTTTGGAGCAAAGTTGTTTGACACTAATATTGATTTTTTCCCCCTGTATTTCCAACAAATATTTGTGAGTGCTTATTATGGTCCAGGTACTGTATAATATCTGTAGTATATTATTCTATAGTCATTCTATACAACTGAACTGATATATTCAATAATGTGGAGAAAATCAAGATACCGTAGTATACTGTTGTCCATAATTTTCTGTTCAAATTATGTAATGGAAATAATCTTCTTTTGTTAATATATTCTAAAATTTGGGAAACTGATTTTTTTTATATTATCAGTTTAATGAGGAATATTTTAAACTAATTTTGCTTTAGAATAACTTGGGAACATTAATGATATAAAGTAAAAGAGAATTACAGAGAATTTTAATACTTTTACTTCTTATGACTGGTCACTTAGCCCAAAGACAGTGAGAGGTACAGGAGGAAACATGTTTAATTCTCTTACATTTTTACTTCCTAGATACAGTGATTGAGAGTTTAACTATGTTCTCCTTAGCGAGAAAGATTTCTTGCTCCCTAAGATGTTATTATATTATATTATATTATTATAATGATATGTGTTATAATATGTATAATTTATTATGTATTATACATATCATTATGATACAAAATTATTTGCCTCTCCAAATTTAAGATTTACATTTTGAATCAATAGCATTTATTTGATTAATAGCCTAGTATTATATCTAAAGAAAGTATATCATTAAATTATTTTACTCAGACTTAAAATCCATTATATTTTTCAGTATAATTTTATGGGATCTGATGCAAACCTTGTTACTCAGAAAATTGCCATGGTTATTGGACTTGTCAGCACAGTAAGCTTTTGCCTTTTCATGTTTCTTGATTTCTGGAGTTACCCCAGGCAGCTATCTAATATTCTAAGTTGCAGAGGAGGCTCAGGACACCATTGATAAAGGGTGCTTCTGTTCCTTATGTCAGAAAAACCATACCCTGGTGTTTTAAATGGAATATAGGGACAAATAATAACAGAATAATAATAATTCATGTTCACACACAACTTTAAGGTTTACAAAGTACTTTCCTTACAACAACCCTGATTAAGTTATCCTCATTTTATAGATGGGGAAACTGATCTCTGAGAGGTTCAGTAACTTGCTCATCATTAACCATCATTAACGAGCTCTGAAAGTGTCAAGGCAGGGTTAAAACCTAGGTATCATGACTCCAAATAGAGTAGTTATTTCCTAAAATAAACACTTGATCTATGTTACTTTAGATGAGCAGTTATCAAAGTGATGACCACAGACCTTTGGGATTCCCAGGAACTCTTTTGTGGGCCTACAAGGTTATGGCAATTTTTGTAATAGTACTGAAACCTTTTTGCCTTTTAAAATATTCCTCCCTTTTCCAATTACATATCTGTATGAGGCCAGATTTTCTTCATAAACTTCAACCAAAACAACACTGCAACAAATTGAATGCAGAAGGAGAGGTGAGAATACATCTGTCTTTCATTAAGAAAGACATTAAAGAGATTTGCAAAATTATGAAAAATGATGCTACTCTTCGCTATTACTGTAAAGTGCAACATCATCCTCCCAGTCCCTCAGACTGGCAAGCTAGGAGTCATCCTAGATTTCTCACTATCTCTCAGCCCCCATATCCAAGCTATGCCAAGATGCCTTGATTTCACCTTTGCAACATCTCTTGAATATGCCTCCTTTTCTTCTCTGATACTGCCACCACCCTGGTGCAGGTCCTCATTACCTCATTTTTGGACTATTGCAGTAGCCTGTTGGTGGGTCTGCCTGCCTCAAATCTCTCTCTCCATTCCAACCAATCCCCAATTTAGCTACCAAAATGATTTTCCAAAAGTTCAGGTCTAGTCATGTCACCCCTCCCTACTCAAACTTAAGTAGCTTTATACTGTCTCCAGGATCAAATACAAAGTGCTTTGTTTGGCATTCAAAGCCCTTCAAAACCTACCACCCCTCCCCCCATCTTTCCAGTCTTCTTACATCTTACTCCTCAACACATATTTTTCAATCCAGTGACACTGGCCTCCTGACTGTTCCACAAACAAGACACTTCATCTCCCCAGGACACAGCATTTCCTCCATCTGCTTCCTGTGCCTGGAACACTGTCTCTCCAATGCTCTGACTGCTGACCTCCCTGGATTCCTTTAAGTCCCAGCTAAAATCCTACCTTCTACAGAGAGCCTTTCTCAGTCCTTCTTAATTCCAGTGCCTTTCCCCTGCTAATTATTTCCTATTTACCTTGTATCCAGTATCACTTGTTTTGTTTAAATTTATTTGCATGTTGTTTTCCCCATTAGATTATAAGATCCTTGAGAATAGGGATTGTCTTTTGCCTCTTTTTGTATCCCCAGCACTTAGCACAGTGCCTTACACATAGTAGGCATTCAATAAATATTTATGGCTTAAGTTGTTGTTTTCAAATGAATTAATAAATATTTGAAAATTTTATTAGTTGCAATTCCTAATATGGTAAATATTAACATATAGATATAACAAACATAAACAAAAACACTTTGAGATCCTCAATAATTTTTAAGAGTATAAAAACCCAAGGTATTGTTGGCTTTACCATGAATTCTACAAAGCCATTGTTGAACCAGGAAGTTTTGTTAACGGCCTGGGAATGCCCGGTGTCCCACCTGTGAGAGAGCATGCAAGTGAGAGCACGTGTTGACAGATACACACCTTTTTATTCCGTATTCCTGATTAGAATTTCTCTCCTTTTTCCCCATTAGCTGGGTACCATAGAGGTTACAGCCTATTCGAAGCACCTAATGTCCCCACATGAGTCTCCCTGTTTACATCTCCCACTCCCCACAATTCAGTGACCCTGGCCCTTATTTACTTTTTCCCTTATTTGAGTATGCCCACACCCCTTTTGCTTGGGATGCGGATATGTTAATCTATACCCAACCTCAGAACTGGTTTTCGCTGGTTAATCTATTCGCCCACCAATTCTACTTTATGGCTTCCGTTGTTCATCTTCCGTCTAGCCCCTAGATTGCATTCCCCAGGTTCCACATGACTTTTATGGAAATAAAAAAACCCCTGCTATTTCTTACATTCCCTCCTAGTTTAAACTGACTCCAATGCTGTCACATAGGTGTTTACTCCCTGATTGAGTGATATGCAGAAGCAACATCCCCAATCACATTTTCCTCAGTATGACACTAAAAATTGGAGAACCACTGCTTTAGATTTTTTTTATTAGCTGCCATGGTACTTCATAAGCTCCCCTATTTATTATTCATCTTATTTATTGTATAAATTCCTCATTTCACTAAGGAATATAATCAACTAATTGGAGTCAGGCTTATTTCAAAAATTGATTTAGGTTACTGGTATTTCAATATATATTCCATATCTGTTCCATTTTTAGATGTATAGCTCACTTAACTTGACTATTGTATTGTCTTCCTTGGAGTTCTGGATAGACAAAAATAAAATCAATACTGCTGGAGAACCTGATGAAATATTGAAGAGATTTTTAAAGTGGAAAGAGTCTTACCTTGTTCTAAGGAGGCATGATATGGCATTTTTACTTAGGTAAGTGTAGCTCCTCCTGAACTTTCCCCAACTCCTACTTACATTGGTAGCCAGGGTCCCCAGAAGCTTTCTGACTACTGTATCCCTTAAGGGATAATACCTGGGGATAGAATGTTTTCAGTATTATTATTCATGAGCTCCCATCTGGTGTGCTCCACCAACTTAATTAGCTTTTGCTGTTTTTGAGTCCTGTCTCACTCTTCCTGACTAGTTTGGAGTTTTCTTGGCAAAGATATTGGAGTGGTTTGCTGTTTCCTTCTGTAGTGGATTAAGGCAAACAGAGGTTAAGTGAGTTGCCCAGGATCACATAGTTAGTGAGTTTGTGAAGTTGGATTCCAGCTGAGGTCTTTCTGACTCCAGGCCTAGCATCCTATCCACTGAGCCACTTACCCACCTCTAAGGCAGACAGAGGTTAAGTGACTTGCCCAGGGTCACACAACTTTTAGACAGTGGTATTTATAGATTAAAAACAATTGGTCAAAACAAAAACAAATAAAAATCCCCTCCCCCAAATCTGCCATATAGCCTTGCACAGATAGGTATAGTGTCCTGGGGAAAAGAGTGCATTGGTGATGAGGACATATGTAGGACTTTGGCAAAGGATAAATCAGACCCCCTGGTTAAAAAAGAAGTCCTTTTTTCCCTTTCTGAAATCCTCAAGCACCTCCCTTTGGGTTGAAGCCACTGGTTCTTCATGTGTCTGCCTGTTTCTGGTTGGATAGGCTGCCTCCAGTGTCTCTGAAGTTATGCGCAATGAGGGGTAGAAGGGAGTGGGGCGGTAGTGAAACAACACCCCTTCTTCTCTGATATTAGTGCAGGGGTCTGCCTCCTTAAAGCTTACAGAATCTGAAGCTTAACTACTTGGCTACTGGATAGCCCGAAACTGAAATAGCTCCTCAGGGGCAAGGACTGTCTTTTTCATGATGCTTTTACTGAGTAGGAACTTAAATGCTTATTGAATGACTGACTGAAATAGCTTGCTGTGTCATGCAGAGACCCAAAGATGTATCTTATTTTTTAGTCAATCACAAAATCTTTGCTGAGTGGCATCATCTGTTTTTATCCAATGATCAAAGCAATTCCCTTCTCCTAAATTGATTAAGGGAAGGACTTATTTGCACCTAGTTTATAACTTTGATTAATTCAGTGTAGAATCTGGGTTCAAAAAGTCTTGCTTCATATTTCCCTCCATTTTTTCAGTTTATTATTGGCAATATGAATTCCTACAGTTTGTACTGCATTTTTCAGAAATCCTTGGCTATGTTATTCTCTTTATTTGCCATTAGAAGAACTCTGTGAAGTAGCTAATTAAAACATTTTTTGACAGAGCTCCTAGCATAATATAGTAAAAGTAAAGGTGATTTTTTTTATCTTTGCAAATTTAATTATTAAATTTAATTTACAAAGTTGAATCAAAATAATTTATTTAACCTTGTTTCATAACAAGCTTATTTTATAACTGTGTAGTGTAAGGTTGATACATTAAAATCTTACAAGTTTCAACTTCCTAATATTAGATTTAGTGTTGGTGAGGTATTCTGAATGAATATCTGCTGTGTCCATTTACCCTTGAGATTTCTAATTATGTAAGCTATAGCAATTCATAATCCTAATTCATAAATCAGGAAAGAGTTTTACACAAGTGTGTGGGGTGCAATCCATAGTATCATGTATGTAATGCTTTTAAGGTTTGCAAAGCACTTTACATATATTGTCTCATTTGTTACCACAACTCTGAGAGATAGGCACCATCAATATCTCTATTTTACAAATGAAGAAACTGAGATAAATAGAGGTTAAGTGGCATGCTCGGGGTCACACATCTAGTAAGGAGCTGGGACAGTTTTCAAACTCAGGTCTTCTTGACTCCAGTCCTCTCTCCACTGAACCACAGAGCTACTTTAATAGCTGTTAGGGCTAACAAGGAATTTTTTAAGAAGCTAAAAGCAAGAATAAGAAGTATGGAATATATTTTCATGGGAAGAATCTGGAACTTAAGAAGAAAAGAAGGTAGGGAAGCAAATAGTGGAGAGAGATAGAGAGGGGAAATCATGGTGAGTAGGAATAGGAAAGAGAAATTGAGTAGATGATAAATGTATGCAACCAAGTAAAGAACAATAAAGGGAGCTGGTTAGTGGGAATGGATGAGGGGAAGAGAGCAAATCTATTTTTCATCCATTATTGAAATTCCTGCCCAGTTCAGTTTTCTAATCTATCCAATTGCAGAATGTCCTAGGCCTGAATCTTGCTCCACTCACTTGTAGAATGTCATGTCCACTTGTAGAGTAATGTGGACTTATCTGCTTGTTCCTATTACTCCAGAGTATGCAATTCAATTAAACAAGCATTTATTAAATGTCTACTATGTGCAAGACATCGTGATAGACACTGAGGACAAAAAGACAACATTTAAAATTTACATTCTATTGCCGAAATTTACATTCTGTTGCAGAAAACAAAATTTCCAAAGATAAGTAAATACAAAATATATACAAATTAAATACAAAGTAATTTTAGGGAGAAAGAACACTAACACTTTGGAGGGGATGGTCAGGAAAGACCTCACATGGGAGGTGACACTTGAACTTTGAAGGCAAGTGGGAATTCCAAGAGGCAGGGCTGAAGAGAAAAAATATTCTAGTCAAGGGAGACAGAGAATATGCAGAAATGCAGAGATGAGAGATGATGTGTGCCATATGGAGAACAGCAACTCGGCTAGTTTAGCTGAAGAATAGACTTCATGAAGTGATGTGAGATTGGATAGTAAACATAGATTGTGAATATAGTATTAGGGACAGATCTGTAAATGCCAGAATAAGGAAAGTCACATAGTCAGACCTATGTTTAGTAATATCAGTTTCATAGCTATATGGAGGAAGAATTGGGGAGATGGAGAGACTAAAGGCAGGGAGACCAATTAGGAGTGTATTCCAGTAGTCTAGAAAAGACTGCCAATGAGGCACAAGCTTTAGAAGCCTCTACCATGCTGAAAAGGCTTCAGGTATCGTCCTGGCAAGAGAGTAAATCTACTTTCCAAGTATCAGCCTGAGCATGAAGAGGCTAGACACTTGGTGATGAATTCTTGGGCCATGGTCATCCATGAAATAATAAATCTTTAGTTACTTTAAATTGTTCTCTCTTTTTTACTTATGAGTTGTTTTCCTTTCTTCAGATATTCCCTTTTTATGTGAATTTGTATTTTATTGTACATTTTAAAAGAAGCAGAAATAATAGGACCACTATGTGTCACATGTTGACTGAGAGGTACTTTGAAATTCTAAGAGGATAATTAAACATAGAAGAGTTCAAATAATTATAGAAAACAGTTGAAAATGAATTTGCCTACTTTTCCAAGATGTGTTTTTGACAAAATTTTATTTTTGTACTTAAGTTATAGGAATAGATTTAAATATGTGGGAGCGACATTTCAAGGAAAGATATGTGAAAGAAACTATGCTGGTGGTGTTGCTTTGGTATGGTATTATTTAATTAATATCACTAATATTTATGTAGACTGTTAAAATTCTCCCTTATTGTCATGTTACTGTATTTAAATATAATATGCAATGGATGTCTTGGGGAAGCTTTTTCTCTGCTCTTTATTTACAGGTAAAGATTTTAGAGCCATTAAGAAATATTTTGTGCCAAACAGAAGGGGAATTACTCAAGGGTTGGGCTCGCCCACTAGAGCATGAAGCCTTTCCAATATGATCAGGAGTGAAGCAAGAATGTCCATTGTGACCATTACTATTCAACATTGTACTAAAAATGTTAGCTATAGCAATAAGAGAAAAAAAGGGAATTAAAGGAACAAGCATAGGTAAAAAGGAAACAAAACTATCACTTTTTATGTAGATGATAGAATACTTATTTTTTATTTTTATTTTTTTTTAAATTATTTCCCCATCTTACCCCTTCCCCCACCCCAAAATGGCATGCATTCTGAATACCCTTTCCCTTAGTCTGCTTTCCCTGCTTATCTCTCCCCTCCTTCTCTTATCCCCTTCCCCTTCTGTTTTCCTGTAGGGTAGGATAGATTTCTGTACCCCATTTCCTGTATTTCTTATTTCCCAGTTGCATGTGAAAACATTTTTTTAAACATGTGTTTTTAAAACTTTGAGTTCCAAATTTTCTCCCTTCCTCCCTCCCCACCCACCCTCATTGAAAAGGCAAGCAACTCAGTATAGGTTATACATGTGCAGTTATGCAAAACACTTCCACAGTAGACATGCTGTTAAAAAGTAAATCTATTTCCCTTAATCCTATCCTGTCCCCCATTTATTCTATTCTTTCTTTTGACCCTGTCCCTCGTCAGAAGTATTTGCTTCTGATTACCCCCTTTCCCAATCTGCCCTCCTCTCTATCATCCCCCTACTCTCTTGTCCCCTTCCACCCCTATTTTCCTGTAGGGTAAGACAGATTTCCATACTCAATTGAGTGTGTATGTTATTCCCTCCTTAAGTCAAATCCTATGACAATAAGATTCACTCATTCTCTCTCACCTTCCCCATTTCCCCTTCACTGTAAGAGCCTTTTCTTTTCTGTTTTTTTTTGTGAGATAATTTACCCCATTCTACCTCTATCCCTTTCTCCTTCTCCTAGTATAATCCTCTCTCACCCCTTAATTTTATTCTCCAGATATGACCCCTTCATCTTCAACTCACCTGTGCCCTCTGTCTATTTATCTATCTCTATCTATATCTATATCTGTATCTACATATACATACATATAATTTTTTCCCTCCAACTACTCTAATACTGACAAAGGTCTCATGAGTTACAAATATCATCTTTCCATGCAGGAATGTAAACAGTTCAACCTTAATAAGTCTCTTATGATTTCTCTTTCCTGTTTACCTCTTCATGTTCCACTTGAGTCTTGTATTTGAAAATCAAATTTTCTATTCAGCTCTGGTCTTTTCATCAAGAATGCTTGAAAGTCCTCTATTTCACTGAATGACCATTTTCCCCCTGAAGGATTATACTCAGTTTTGCTGGGTGGGTGATTCTTGGTTGTAATCCTATCTCCTTTGCTCTCCAGAATATTATATTCCATGCCTTGCGGGCCCTTAATGTAGAAGTTGCTAAATCTTGTGTTATCCTGATTGTGTTTCCACAATACTTGAATTGTTTCTTTCTGGCTGCTTGTAATATTTTCTCCTTGACCTGGGAACTCTGGAATTTGGCTACAATATTCCTAGGAGTTTTCCTTTGGGGATCTCTTTCAGGAGGAGATCGGTGGATTCTTTCCATTTCTATTTTGCCCTCTGGTTCTAAAATATCAGGGCAGTTTTCCTTGATAATTTCTTGAAAGATGATGTCTAGGCTCTTCTTTTGATCACGGCTTTCAGATAGTCCAATAATTTTAAAATTCTCTCTCCTGGATCTATTTTCCAGGTCAGTTGTTTCTCCAATGAGATTTTTCACATCGTTTTCTAATTTTTCATTCTTTTGGATTTGTTTTACAGTACCTTGATTTCTCATAAAGTCACTAGCTTCCAATTGCTTTATTCTAATTTTTAAGGAAGTATTTTCTTCAGTAAGCTTTTGGACTTCCTTTTCCATTTGACCAATTTTGCTTGTTAGGGCATTCTTCTCCACATTGGCTTTTTGGACCTCTTTTGTCATTTGGGTTAGGCTATTTTTTGGGTCTCCTTTAGCAAGCTGTTGACTTGTTTTTCATGATTTTCTTGCATCTCTCTTATTTCTCTTCCAAGTTTTTCCTCTACTTCTCTTACTTGCTTCTCAAAATCCCTTTTGAGTTCTTCCAAGGCCTGGGACTGATTCATATTTTTCTTGGAGGCTTTGGATGTAGGAGTTTTGACTTTGTTGTCTTCTTCTGGTTGTGTGTTTTGATCTTCTTTGTCACCAAGGTAAGATAATATAGTCTGACTCTTTTTGCGCTGCTTACTCATGTAAGAGTCTGCTTCCAATGTTGAGAATGTACTGTCCCAAGCTTAACGGGTATGTATAGCTATTTTCAGAGGTACTTCTAGGGACCTATAAATTTTCAGTTCTTCCAAGGTGGTATGATAAGGGGCGGGGTGTTTCCTTTCCACAGTCACAACAAGCTCAACCAAGCCAGTGCTCCTCCTCGCCCCAGGACCACCTCTCAGAACTGTGACCCAGATCCAAACACCAGTAAAGCAAGAGATTCCTGCCTCAGCTCTGGCAGACCGATCCCTGCAATTCCCCTCTGATCAGCCGCTTGATCCCCCCTCGGTCTGTGACCTGGGAGCTCAGGAGGCAGCCGCTGCCCCAGAGGCCGCGCTCAGGACTTGCAGCTGAGATCTAGTTCCTCTCTCACCGCAGTCACAGACTTTTCCCACTGACCTTCTAAGTTGTCTTTGGCATTAGTGGGTTCAGAAGTCTGGAAACCGCCACAGCTGCCCGTGATTCAGCCCTCTGAGGCTTGCTCCAGGTTCGCTGTCGCCTGCACGCCCACGTCAAACTGGGCTTCTCTCTCTGCCTGGCGCCATATACCTTTCTGATCAACCATCCAGGTTGTCTTGGGCTGGAAATGTGTTTCACTCTGTCTTTTTGTGGGTTTTGCTGCTTTAGAATTTGTTCAGAGCCATTTTTCACAGGTATTTGGAGGGGTTTGGGGGAGAGCTCAAGCAAGTCACTGCTTTCCCTCTGCCATCTTGGCTCTGCCCCTGATATAATACTTAAAGAACCCCAGAAAGTCAATTTAAAAACTGATTGAAATACTTCAGCAATATTGCAAGATATAAAATAAATCCACAAGAATCATCCACATTTTTCTATGTTACTAACAAAATCCCATAGAAAGAGATAGTCCATTAAAAATAACTACAGGCGTTTTAAAATACTTGCCTGCCAATGCACACACACAGACACGCAGACACACAGACAAACACACAGACAGAGGAACTTTATGAAGACAATTATAAAACACTCACGCAAATAAATATAGATCTAAATAATTAGAGAAATATTAGTATCTCATAAGGAGGTTAAGTTAATGTAATAAAATGACAATATTACTTAAATTAATTTACTTATTCACATCAGATTTCAAAGGACTATTTTATATGGCTAAAAAAATAGCAAAATTAATCCAGAGGAAATGTCAGGAATCACGAAGAAATCAATAAAAAAGTGGAAAGGAAGGAGGTCTAACAGTACTTGATCTCAAACCATCCTACAAAACCATAATTATTAAAACAATTTGGTATTAGATGAGAAATAGAGAGGTTGGTCAGTGGAATAGAAAAGGCACACTATATGCAGAAGTAAATCAGTATAGTAACCTTCTGTTTGAGAAATCCAAAGATGCCAGTGATTGGTATGAGAACTCACTGTTCAACAAAAGCTGTTGGGAAAACTGCAAAACTGTAAAAAGTCTGGCAGAAACTAAGTATAGACCAAAATCTGACACTGTACACCAAGATAAGCTCTAAATGGGTACATGATTTAGACATAAAGCCTGATACCATAAGCCAGTTAGAGAAGCATGGAAGAAATTACCTATTTGATCAAAGAAGAGAAAGAGAAGTTCACAATAGGCAAAGTGGACAATTTTGATTATATGAAATTTAAAGTTTTTGCACAAACAGAACCAATATAGCTAAAATTTGAGAAGTAGGAAATCAAGGAAAAAATCTTTGCAGCAATTTCCTCTGATAAACATTTCAAAACTAAGATATATAGGGAACTGAGTCAAATTTACAAGAATAGGCCATTCCTCCATTGATAAATGGTCAAAAGTACAAATAGGTAGTTTTCAGAGGAAGAAATCCAAACTATCAATGGCCATATAAAAAATTCTCTAAATCACCAATAATTAGAGATATGCAAATTAAAACAACTCTGAGGTACCACCTCGTTCTTAGCAGATTGACAAAGTTAACACAAAAGGAAAATAAAAATGTTGGAGGGATCTGCTAAAACAGGTATACTAATGCAGTGTTGTGAAACCATGAATTGATCTAACCATTCTGGAAAGCAATTTAGAACTATGCACTCCAAATCTCTACAACTGGATATACCTTTTGACCCAGTGATAACACTACTAGATCTATATTCCTAAAGAGATCAAAGAAAGAGGAAAAGGACCTATATATTAAAAAAATATTTTAGCATCTCTTTTTGTGATAGTAGAGAATTTGAAACTAAAGGGATGCTCATCTGTAGGGGAGTGGCTGAACATATTATGGTATTTAAGTGTAATGGAATACTATTGTGCTCTAAGAATTCAAGACATAGAAATGTGAAGAAGTATGTTTTAGGTACATGCAAATGCACAGCAATAGCAAATGGCAAGATAAAATCAGGGAGGAAAAGATGAGTAGAATTTGGCTTCAGTATATAACACATGAAAAGGCATAGGTCAAATAAGATTAGAAAGACAAGAAGGCTTCAAATTTTATTTATTTTTAAGAATATTTTATTTTTTCCTCAATAACATGTAAAAGACAATTTTTAACATTCATTTAAAAAATTTTGAATTCCAAATTTTCTCCTTCCCTTCCTCACCTCCCCCCTCCCTGAGATGACAAGTAATTTATATATGTTATATATGTACAATCATGCAAAACATATTTCCACATTAGTCATACTATGAAAGAAGACACAGACCCAAAGAAAAAAAAAGACCACATAGAATAAATGATTAAAAGTTAATTGGAGATAAGTTAACTTAGTCCTAAAAAATGAGTGGATCAAAGAACAAATCATGGAAAGAATTGATAATTTCATTAAAGGTAATGAAAACAATGAGACAATGAACTAACATTTTGAGGATGCAGCCAAAGCTTTGCTTAGAGGAAAATTTAATTTTTTAAATTTAATTTAATTTTCAGTCCAAATATGCTCCCTTTATTTCTTCTTCTTCTCTTCCTCCTCGTACTCTTCCTTCTCTTCCTCATCCTTCCTCTTCCTCCTCTTCTTCCTCCTTTCTCCTCTCTCTCTCTTTCTCTCTCTGTCTCCGTGTGTGTGTGTCTCTCTCTCCCTCCATCAAGGTTATGTGACTTGCCCAGGAGCACATAGCTAGTAAGTATCTGAGGGAGGCTTTGAATTTAGGTCCTCCTGACTCGAGAGCCAGTGCTCTATCCCTTATGTCACATAGCTGCCCCACACCCCCACCCTCTTCCTTCAAGGTCTGGCTCAGATAATGCCTCTTTAATGAAGCTTTCCATGATTCCCTACAACTAGACATGGTAATTCCCTACTCAGATATTTCATGCCAATCTATTTTACATCTATTATGCACATAGTCATATTCTAATTTTTGTTAGTAATTATTTATGTACATCCTATCATCTCTAATGGATTGCAAGTTCCTTGAAAGAAGGGCCTCTGTCATTCTTGTAAGTATATCCAAGGTTTAGACTAAGTCCTTTAACGTAGTAGGTGCTCAATTAAATATTGTATTTCATTTCAAGTTTGCTCGTTTATTGTTCATTTTTATCTTAATTCTTTCATTTTCCCCAGTTGAATGGATTATTAGATCTTCAATAGTAGTAATTTTTCTGTTTTTTTTTAAAATTTTTAGTATCCAAGAACATTAAGTCTGGAGGCATTTTCTGTTATTATTGCTCAATTACTGGGTCATAGCATGGGATTAACTTATGATGATGTTGAAAGTTGTCACTGTTCAAGAGCTGTCTGCGTAATGAACCCGGAAGCAGTGTAAGATGTTTTCTTTATCAAATATCTATCACAATAAGATTATATCTTTATTTTACATATAGGCATACATGTACATATATATATACACACATACACGTGTATATATATATATACACACTTATCTGTGTGTGTGTGTGTGTGTGTGTATGTGTATCAGCTAACATTTTAACTGTGGGCAGAACTGATACTATTCATTAACAGTGTTGACCAATCTTTTCTCCCCCCAAATCAAATGATATATAGTGGAAGCAGATATAGATAATCTGTATGGCTTTGTGTGTCTTTTGGCAGAGCCTTATACTTAGGAATGAGCTTTTTGTCTAGTCACTAAATATGTCCTGAATGAAAAGGAACTGGCAGGCTTACCTGTCCATTTGTAATGCCATTCTTTCACTACTGTGTTTGCTTGCATAGTGGATGGATACACATTTTATGTTCTTTGAGCTATATAAAATAAAGAGATTTAATCTTCATATAAGAATACTTATTGTGAATACTAACTTATAATGAACACCAACAGCAAGCTTTCATGTAAAAATAATAGATGTGATTACCACAGCGTATTCCAGTTTGAGCATTGAACTAGGGATAAATAGGTAAGCCATTTAAGACTATAATCCTTGATCAAAGTGAAAAACATTGTAAGATGAGGCTTCTGAATTGTGACAGTAAGAGTAGGGGTACTGCAGCCAATCTTTTCTTCACTCCTGTGGTAAGTACTATACTGAAAGAAGATTGACTGCAAAGATGACTCTAACTGTATCAGTTACTTGCTTCCTTGACTTTGATTTGGTTTCATTTTTTTTTTCTGTTGTTTTTCTTCTTTTAAACATTACCTCATTTGTATTAATGCTTTTTTGTTTTTATATCACATTTATTTCTCAATATATCCCTTTTACCTTCTTTACCCAGTGGACCATCCCTTTTTTAAAAGATTGAAGCATAAAGAGTAAAAAATATTTGGTTGGTTTTAAAGATAGTAACTAAAAGAGAATAAAGGAAAAATAAAGACAGTAACTAACTTAACCCTCCACAAAATTCCTACTGGGCCCCTCTTATCCCAAGATGGAGCTGTCCCTGGGCATCTGAAGGGCCAGCTCAGATAGTGCTGTGTCTGTTGGGCAGGAGCAAATCTCACTCAGTGTTGGCATACCGCAAGCACTTCATCAGTGTTTATTGACTGATTGTCAGTAGAAGATTGACCACTTGGCCACAATGGCCTTTAACAATTGCATCACAGATTTAGAATTGGAAGCAACATTAGAGATCATCTAGTCCAACTCCTCCATTTTGGAGATATGGAAATGAAAGACCAGAGAAGGGAAAGGTCTTGCCCAGGGTCACCCAGCAAGGAAGTGGTAGTAGTGAGATTGGAACCCAGACTTCCTGACTCCAAGTCCAGCACTCTATCCATTATGCGATGCAGCCTCTGAGAGAAAAAAAAAATACAAAATATATTTTAGGCTTGCATAGCCCTTTTCTCCTTTTTACTACCACCACCCTGGTGCACGCCCTCATCACCTCACACCTGCACTATTGCAATAGCCTGCAGGTGGGTCTGGGTGTCTCAGATCTCTCCACTTCAGTCCATCTTCCATTAAATCACCAAAGCAGTTTTTCCTAAAGTTAAGGTCTGATTATGCTATATCCACACCCTCTTCCCCATCCTTACACCCCAACTAAGTAAGAACTCTGATGGCTCCCTACTGGCTGTAGTGTCAAATACACAATTATCAGTTTCTCATTCCAAGCCCTTCATAACCAAACCCTCTCCCTCCAACCTTTCCAGTCTTCTTACACCTTATTCTGCAAAACATCTTCATTCCAGTGACACTGGCCTCCTGGCTGTTCCACAAACAAGATATTGCATCTCTCTTCTCTGGGTATTTTCTCTGGCTGTCCCTCATGTCTGGGATGCTCTTTCTCCTCATCTCCTCCTGACATCCCTGACTTCCTTTAAGTTCCATCTAAAATCCTATCTTCTACAGGAAACCTCTCCCAACCCTTTTTAATTCTAATGCCTTCTCTGTCATTTATTTCCTATTTACTTTGTACATAGTTTGTACATATTTGTTTGCTTGTTTTCTCCCTCATTAGAGTGTGAGCTTCTTGAGGTCATCAACTGTCTTTTGCCTTTTTCTGTGGCCAGCATTTAGCACTGTGGCTGGCACATAGTAGGTGCTTAATAAATATTTATTGACTGACTGCTTCCACAACAATGGGGATAGAATGATGAAAAGAGAGTGGGGAAGACACTGGATGTATCAAACACTGAACAACATCACGAAAATGAAGCTGACTGTCTTTACTGATAAGAAACTTATAGGTTTTTGGCACTGGGAGAAATTTTAGAATTGTCTGTGAGTAGCCAGATGATGAACTGGTTAAAACCAAAGTCAAAGTAAAGGATAAAATAGGATAGGCTTCTTATCCCTTTTTTGTGTTATGAATCCTCTTTGGTAATCAAGTGAAGCCTATAGATTCCTTCTCAAAATGATGTCTTTAAATGTAGAAAGTAAAAAAAAAATTACAAAGGAAATTACTTATACTGAAATTTATCGTTCAGTTGTTTTCAGCCATGTCTGACTCTTCATGACCCTATTTGGTATTTTCTTGGCAAAGATACTGGAATGGTTTGCCATTTCCCTCACTAGCTCATTTTACAGATCAGCAAACTGAAGTAAACAGGGCCAAGTGACTTGTCCAGGATCATGCAGCTAGTAAGTGTTGAGGTTCAAGGTGTGTTGTGATGTTATCTCAAAAAAATTCACAGACTCAGACTGTCTCCATCCTAAGCAAAGGCTTTTATTGAGGATTATGCTCTCCAGCAAGCTAGGCTTCTTAGAGGAACCAGCAGCTTAGCAGAGGAAGACAGGGATTTTTATACAGCATAAGATACCATTACATCATTACAGAATATATGAATATAAAAATATAGGAGGGGTTTATTAATATGGGAGGAGTCCTAGCCTTGATGGAGTTGTGCATAGGGTTGCCCATGATTCATACAGAAAAAAGCCCACTGCAGGGTATTAATGTATGATGATGATATTATAATAAACCTCTTTACATCATAAGTTCACCTTAGGACAGTTCTTTGCTATTACTGCTCAGATGTTCACTTAAGCTGTGATTTAGTGATCAAACATCCTGCTCAATGTCCTATTGGTGCTGCTTTCTGATTGGCTGGCTATTGTGGTCTTGTCTGGGGCATGATAAATGACTGTCTGAGACTAAATGGATGATGTGATTGAGTACATGGACACACCTGCTATTCTAGTGAGGCAGTGAGGCATATGAAGAAGTTGGGATATTGAGTCTGAGGACAGTGGCTAGCTAGGGGCAGTGGCTAGGATTCCATCAGTAAGTGTCTGAGGTCAGATATGATCTCAGGAAAATGAGTCTTCCTGAATCTAGGCTAAGCACTATATCCACTATGCCACCTAGCTGCCCCTGATTATATTGAAATAATTATCAAAATATTAAAAAACAAGTTCATTGGCCCCAGTTTAAGAACACCTGAATTAGAAGAAAGGAAAAAAGTTGAGAAGGCACATTATGTACAACTGCAAAACCTTTATCAGGACCTGAAAAGTTGTGCCAAAAAGTGAATCATGCATAAAAATATTGATAATGGCTCTTATAATTTTTATCTGTACAACATCTTTCATATATGTTCCCTTCATTCTACTAGCACAACCTTCCCTCTAGTTCAAGACTCCATCAGCTATTGCCTAGACTATTGAAATAGTCTCCTAATTGTTCTCCCTCTAAAGAGTTTCTTCCTATTCCATCCATCTTCCACAGAGTTGCCAAAATGATTTTCTTAAAGCATACGCATGACTGGATCCTCTTCCTAAATCCTTTTTAATAAACTCCATTGGTTTATTGGGATCATATGTAAACTTTTCTATTCAGCATTTGAAACTTGACAACTTGGCCCCATCTGGCCTTTCTAGCCTTATTACATATTGTACTCTTCCCTCCCCAATCTCCCCTCTCCCCCAATACTATATGAACTCGTCAGATTGGCCTTGCTGTTCACACACATCAGACTATCTTCTTGTGTTGGCAGAGTCTTCTACCCAGGCCCAAGCCTTTGTAGCAGTGGCAGCTGCTATATTTGGAGTTGGTAAACAGTCTGGCACAGCTATCGGTCACTTGTATTCCCCTCAACCGCTCCCTTTTTGTGGACCAAGCTACTCTTTCCCTTTGGTACAGGTTATTCTTTCCACCTGCTCCCTTTGTGCTTCCTCACTGGAAGAGCACTTTTTCTCCAAACCAGGATGCCTGGAAACTGTAATGGTGCGTGCCCACCTCAGTACCCACCCAGCCAGTTGCTACCCAGCCATTGCTACTCATTAGCCTAGAGAGACTCTGGTAAAATTATTTTCCATGCCCTGGGAAGTTCTTAAATATATCAATAATTATCTTTTTACTTCAGGTCTCAAACAAGGGACTTTACTCTCTGGCAAAATGGCCACAATTTTGACTCATCTTTTTCCCTTCCCAAGTATTCCTAATCAGACTGAATCCACATGGCTCCAGGGGAAAAAGTGAGGCTGATGACTCTGCACAGTCCTCCTCACGTAAATCCAATTCACTTGCATATCATGGTCCTCTTTGAAAATGAAGGACAAATAGCAAGCTCCCAATCATCCTTTCTCTACTACATTTGAACAATAACACACACAGCTTAGTAATATGGGTAGTTAACAGCTTGATCATATTTGCCAGTTTAAGAGACAAAATAAGTGTTTAAAGATAGAAAGATATTCAAAATTTTAAGATACAAAAACAAACCTTTTGATACCACTGAATAAATCCAGAAAGAGATTTCCAAGAGACTAATGGGGGTGGTGGTGTCCTTTTATGCAGACCACTTCTACATATGCAGTCTTAAAGAGTTAAGTAAGTCATCTAGGCAGCTACAAATTAGGGAATGACAGGGAATTTACAAAAGACTTTATAAAGAAAGACAGGTTAAATGAAAGGTTCTT